AATAATAATAATAATAATAATATTTTTTAAGTAGATAATATCTTTGGGTGGATAAAACAAATTTAGTCAGCAAGACTTAAGAAAAATAGCTATATTAGAAATTTTCAAACTATAACCATTATCTCATACTTCAGTAAACACAGTGTGTCTTGTCTGGTTTTACATGACTACTTTTCATCCAAATCACACTGTTCTTCAGTATTAAATCATTCTAATGAGATCTCTACTGTCCAGCCTGGGTTTCATAAGAATTATGTTACTTATTAACAGTTAACAGCCAGAAACTATTAACTCCTATGTTATACAGTAATTACAAAATTCAAGTTTTTTAAAACTTCTTTACTCTGGTTTAAAAATAAATACATATAAGTAAAAATAATAATTATCCACAAGTTATAATAAAAAATACATCATCACTATAAAAAGTTTTTTAAAGCCCCAGAGATAAAAGAAATATATCAAGAAATGTCCAAGATACAAAGAAAAACATACACAAAAATCTAACAAGGAACCTAAAACAAGACTTAAGTGATTTGAGAGATTTAATGATACAAACAGATTCAAGATACTGATTCCCAAGTAAGAGCGCCTTCAAATCAACTACAGTATAAATTTCACCAATTCTTTTTCATTCAGCCCGGTGATTTAAAATTCACCTCACACAATATACTGTAGACACTGCCCAAAAAAATACTGAAATGGAAGGGAAAGAGTGTAATACTTGCGAAGTTAAGAGATATAAAATATACTTTGTAGATGTTTAAGCTCTGTTTCGCTTAACTTCAGGCATATGGCCAGGCGGGACCAGTCCTTGGAGAAGGAGATCATGCTTGGAAGGATGGAAGGACAGAGCAGGAGAAGACCGCGGATGAGATGGAGTGCCTGGAGAAGTGGGTTTGGGTCTATCAGAGATGATGAGATTGACTCAGGGATAGGGCAGGGGTCAGAGCTGTTGTGCCTAGGGTCGCTATGAGTTGCAGGCGTGTTAACAATGTTGTTGTTAGGTGCTGGGTGGTCACTGCCTTGTAGCGTAGCCCGGGTGGGGGTGAGTGTGCCCACGGTCAGGTCCTGCCCAACCCCAGAAGTTCGCAGCACCCTCTCAGCTTTGTCTGTGCTGCTTGTTTTCATAATCTCCTGAGTGAAGGATGGGCTCTTTCCTCAGAATTTGCAGTGCCGTGGGAGCTCTGGTGGCAATACCCGATAGGGAATTACCCAGGTAACCCAAAAGCCAGACAGCCTTCTCTGGAGGTTTAAATCCGCCTACGACTCTGAGGGAGAACGATGGGTAATCTCCTCCCATGCAATTTACAGCCTTGGAAACCCAGTATAGAGTCAGTTCTGACTGAATTTAATAAGACCGGTTCCCACAAGAGCCAAACAGTGGTTCCGTGCTTAGTCTCTGCGTGGAGAGGAGACTTTGCAAATCACCCAGAGGGGTCTGGAAGCGTGAGGTCCCCTTACCCAGAAACTGCTCTATGGGGGATGGGGCTGCGAGAGGCCAGCAGCCCCTCTCCCTGTGAGGCAGAATCAATTCTGCGCACGGAGCCTGTGGGAGTTTTGTTGTAATTTTTTTGTTCTCTGTACACTGTGGTCAGAGCCTTAAAAGGAAAAAGCTTTAAACACAACCCTTGTGCAGAAGTTCCTAGTGTATTTATAAAATGGAGAAATATAAGAGTATTGCTCTTCTTATTGTGTGTCATCCAGTCGGAACCAACTCACAGCTGACCCTCCAAGAGGTTTTTAGAGGCAACCAACCGCAAGAGAGGAGATAGCCGTCCTTCCCCTGTGGAGCAAACTGCAGGTGTATTAGAACTGTTGCCTTTGGGTTGGCAGTACAAGTCCTTACCACTAAGCCACCAGAGCTCCTTCACTAGGGGACAGATCTCCCAGTTTCAGATGATGCAGTTGGCAGTTGCGGGCACGCACACACTGGGCACCCTGAGACTTTGGTGGTTAGGCGGCTGCGAAGAAGTGTGTGGCGCGCGGGCTCTTCAGCTTGGTGGATTTGCTTGGTGGCAGTTATTCTGGCTAACTGACGTGTTTCCCTGTTGGGACGTTATAGTCACATAGGGCTGCGGTTACTTTAGCATGGCAATTGGCCTCAGCTGACCAAAACATCAACGAATACTTCAAGTGTTTTTCTGTCTGTCCCCACTTCTCATCAGCAAGATGAAGCTTTTTGGCAGGAAGTCGTGCGCCGTTGGAGAGGAACAATGGCTGGATGATAAACATGTGAGCCCACAGTACAGATACACCATTCACGACAAAGACCTGGGGAAGATCCACAAAGCTGCCATCCTGGGTAACGTCACGAAGGTCCAGCATGTTCTTTTCATTGGGAAAAACGAATTGAATGATCGAGACAAAGCGAACAGGTAACAGGGACTCCTGCGTGGTGCAAGCTGGTGGTGAGTCGGCACTTCACTACTGAGGCGCTCTTGAGACCAAAACAATAAAAATGTGTGATTTTTAAGTACAAGAGAAACTTTTTAAAATTTTATTTGTTACTGGTTTGCTTACAAAGTTCATATACATTGTTTTTCACACTGGTTCTTTCCCCTTTTTAAAAATTTTATTTCCCGTCATTCATTGTTGAACATTTTCATCCTGTCCACTCCTCCCCACCCCCAGTTTGCTTTTTTCTTTCATTGTTAATACAATTCCCCTCAGCCCCCAGTCCACTTTACTATATAGCTCTTATTCTGGATTCTTGCCATGCAGATATATGCACACCCATGTTTATTGCTGTTTTGTTTGCAAAGAGTTGGAAACAGCCCAAGTGCCCATCAACAAATGAATGGATAGAGAAGTTGTGGTATATTCACACAATGGAATATTATGCAGTGCTGAAAAAAAACTCATTAAATATTATACAAAATGGGGACATTATGATGAGGGAAATATCTCAGTCACAAAAAGACAAATACCATATAATGCCACTTATAGAGCAGGACAGATATGGGGGTTGGGGAAACTAAGAAGAGAGGGGATAAATAATGTACATGGCATTGAAACATATAAAGGAGAGAATTGTATAAAAGGAACCTATGATTAGGTATTATTGGCATGGCAAGAGTCCAGAATAAGAGTTGCATAGTAAAGTGATCTGGCTGGGAGAGGGGAGGAGCTATACAACAATAAAAGAACTTTTTTTCCAAAGAAGAAAGCAAACTGGGGGGAAAGGAAGACAGGGTGGAAAATGTTTAACAATGAATGAATGGAAATTTAAAAAACAAAATATATTCAAACCTGTTAAAACCAAATAAAGTATACATTTTTTAAAAAAATAGATAAACAAAATAAAATTTCCTTATCTTTTTAAACAAATCTGAAGAGCTTACTACTCAAGACAAGTAAAATAAGTCTCCCTCAAGCTGTTACAATAATATTTAATAATTAAACTGGAATAGAAAAGTTGGAAATAAAGAACAAAGATTAGTGTTGAAGGATATGGATTTTATGACAGAAATGAGACTGGATATTAAATTATAAAATTATGTACAATCAATTATTTATTGCAAATTTCTTTTTTAAAAACATGAATGGTGATTGTAAACAAATTCATCACAGGAATTAGATTGGCTACATCTTTGGAAATAATCCATGGAGAAGCTCAGTATCAGCAATCAAAACAAGCCCAAGAGCTAAATATGGAACTGATTATCAATTACTCATGTGCAAGTTCAAACTGAAGGTGAAGAAAGTGAAAACAAGTCCATGAGAACCAAAATACAACCTTACATCTATCCCACCTGGATTTAAAAACCACCTCAAGAGTAGATCTAATGGATTGAACAGATGAGCAGTGGTTTGACATCCAGGATATCACCCATGAATAAAGCAGAAAGTCATTACAAAGGCAAGAGAGCAAGAAAAATGATATGAGAAGAGATTCTGCAACTTGCTATAGAAACTTGTTGTTGTTATGTACCACCGAGTTGCAACCCATCCATAACTGACCCTCCAGTGAGTTTTCAGAGGCAATAAATCACACAGGAGGAGATTGCCTATCCTTATCCACAGAACATCTGGTAGATTTGAACTGCAGGCCTTTGGGATTGCAGTGCAGCTTCTTACAACAGGCCCCCAGAGCTCCATCATCTGCACATTTGCTACTGCTTTTTGCCAAAACATCATGGTCACCATATTGATGTTGTGTACTGTTGAGTTGGAACTAATGAATAGCTGACCCTTTAGCAGATTTTCAGAAGCAGTTTTAATAACATGGGAGGAGATTGCCTATTCTTCCTCCATGGAGCAGCTGGTGGATTCAAACTGTATGTCTTCAGGTTTGCAGCATAGCTTCTTAACATTAAGCCACCAGAGCTTCCCCGTCAATTCTCCAATGTGGCCCAGATAAAGGTAAGAAATGCTGAAGTTATAAGCAACTTTCAAAGGGCAGCTTGAGAAAACAAAGCAATGTATTATAATTAAATGTGCAAAGATGTATATTTAAAAATACCGAAAGGGATGAACCATGTTCAGTATTTCTCAAGCTGAAAGATCTGAGGAAATTCAGGCCTCAAGTTGCAATGGTAAAGTATTTTATGCACAATATACTAACTTACACAAGAAGTGTTAAAACATAGAAGGAAAACATTGGGTCACAGTACAAAAAAGAATTGATTGACAATCTGTATGTTGAGCAAATTATTTGAGAAGTTGAACTATATGGAAAAGAATGTCATCAGGATTGGAGGAAGACTTAACAGCCTGCCTTTTGCAGGTGACACAATCCTGCTTAAAGAAAGAAATGAGAACTTGAAGCATTTGCTACAGAAGATCAATGACTACAGGCTTCAATATAGATTACCTCTCAACAGCAAGAAAACAAAAATTCTCATAACCAGACCTATAGGAATCATCATGTTAGTTGGAGAAACGTTTGACATTTTAGTATTTTTTTTCATAATATACACCCATGGTAACAGAAGTCAAGGAGTCAAAAATCATGTTCCTTTGAGAAAATCTGCTGTGTAGGACTTCTCGAAAGTGCTGAAGACCAGTGATGTCATTTTAAAGACTAGGGAGTACCTGATTGAAGCAAGTGTTTTCAAATGCTTCGTATGTATCTGAATGTTGGACAATGAACAGAAATGACTGAAGAATAATCAATACCTTTGAATTGTGGTATTGAAGTAGGGTACTGAATATCTCATCCATTACCAAAAGAACAAACACATCTGTCTTGGAGGAAGTACAACCAGTATGCTCCTTAGAGAAAAAGACGGTGAAGCTTCATCTCATGTGTTTTGGACAAGTTGTCAAGAAGGGCCAGTCGTTGGGGAAAAAACATCATGCTGGGAATGGTAGAAGCTCAGAGAAAGAAAGGAAGGAGACCTTCAACAAGCTATATTGGCACAGGAACTGTAACAGTGTCTTCGAGCATGTCAGAGATGCAGGGATGGCACAGAATAAAGCCCAATATAGATTTATTGTCCATAGGGGTTACTGTGAGTTGTAGTTGATTGACTCCACGACATGGGACAACAAAAACAACTGTGTCATATGAAAAGATATTTAGTTGTCCTTCATAAGAGAAGATATGTAGGTTATTAAAAACTAAAACACCTTTTTTTAACCCACATTGCGAAAAATTTGTGTTACTTATGTGACTTTTCAAACAGGAAATTTGGTGATAAGCATCACATCTTAAAAATATGTGTTATTATTGTTGTTAGGTCCTATCAAGTTGAGTATTACTCATAGTGAAGTTGTGAACAACATATCCTAATCCTGTCCTATCCTGTGCGAAACTCACAATATCTGACACACTCAAACCATTGCTGTAGTCACTGTGTCAGTCCACCTTGTTGAGGGTCTTCCTCTTCTTTGCTGTCCCAAACTTTCTGAGCTTGATATCCATCTCCAAGGAATAAACTCTACTAGCAACATAACCAAAATATGTGAGATGAAGCTGCATCATCTTTGCCTCCAAAGAGCACTCTGGCTGCACCTTCTCCAAGATATATCTGTTTGTTCTTTTGGCAGTCCATAGTATATTCAGTTCTCTTCTCCAATACCACAGTTCAGGCAATTAAATTTTTCTTCTATTCCTATTACCATACCTTTAGGAAATAGTAATAGAAATGTGATGTTAGCCCCTTTGCTGTCAAATTATTTCTGAATCAGAGTGTTCCTTAGAGGCAAGGATAATGAGGCTTCTATTCACATACTTGGGCCATGTTGTTAGGAGGGGCTATTCCTTTGGAGAGGAACATAATGCCTGGAAAGGTGGAGGGTCAGAAAAAGACAGGATGACCCTCAATGTGATGAATTGACACATGATGGTAGCAACAGGCTCAAGTGTATCAGACATGATGACAACAACAGAACTAACCACAGGGTTTCCATGGTTGTAATCTCTACAGAAGGAGACAGATGACAGCTCATTAGTGTCACAGTTAAAGAGATTTCAAATCTACTTAAACTGAATCTAAAGGTGTCATGTTCTTTATTTTTAAATATGAAGATAGGAATTGATGCTTATAGATATGGCATGCTCCTTTATGTTTACCTTTACATTAATAATTCAGTATCTTGAGATAGTCCACTGTAATTTTCTAAAACATCCTTTTTTTTTCATAGGACTGCTCTACATTTAGCCTCTGCCTTTGGTCACCTGGGAGTGATAACTCTACTTGCAGAAAGAAAATGCCAGATTGACCTCCTTGATACGGAAAATAGGACAGCTCTGGTTAAAGTATGTAGTCAGATATTTTAGTATGAAATCTACTTGACTGAAATGTCTGGAACAAAAATGAACATTTAAATAAAATTAGTTGATTAAACATTTGAAATATTTACCTTAAAACATTCATACATAAAATACGTAGAACATAAAAGTTGCTCTTTTAGGTATCCTTATCATTGACATTAAACTACTTCCTCTGTCTATAAATTTGCTTATTCTAGATAATATAAATGCAATCATATATATTTGTCACATATTTTAGCAAAGTATTTGTAAGTGTATGTAGATATATCGATAGTATAGTGTACTGAAATGTGCGAGGAGCTAGAGTCAGAAAATCAAAAGGGTATTTCTTAAGGCTCAGCATTTCTTAAGCTCAAGGAACTGAAGAACAAATTCAAACCTAGAGTTGGCTACAATCAAGGATGCTTTGGGCAGAATATTAAATGATCCAGAAAGTATTAAAAGAAGATGGAAGGAATATACTGAGTCAGGATTGGTGGAAGATCTATTAACAATCTGTGTTATGCAGATGACACAACCCTGTTTGCTGAAACTGAGGAGGACCTCATGCACTTGCTGCAGAGGGTCAAGGACTGCAGCCTTCAGTATGGACTGAGGCTCAGTGTCAAGGCAAAGATTCTCACCACTGGACCAATTGGCAGCGTCAGGATGGATGGCAAAGAGATTGATTGAGATTGTTCACAGCTTCAGTTTGCTCGGCTCCACAGTCAACACTCTTGGCACCAGCAGTCAGGAAATCAAAAAAGCGTATCGCGTATCAAAAAAGCGTAACAGTCTGCTGTTAGGGACCTCTCTAAAGTACTCAGGAGCAACGGTGTCTCTCTGGAGACTAAGGTGTGCCTGATACAGGCCATGGTCTTTGCAAT